GTTTTGGGACGTCCTTCGTCGCGGGGCTGTGACGTATGCGGCCGACGAATTCGACCTTCGGAGGACCCGTCCTGTCATTTTGGACACAGCCATTGCGTCATCAAAAAGGGCCAGCCTACGGCTGAAATCAGGTCCTCTTACAATTTTCCTGTTCTGTTTAAACAACAGTTCAATTAAGTGTTGAAAGTGTGTGCAGGCATGGATCTTATATGTACCTCCTGCTCTGTGTAACCATCTTTGACAGACATTCAGACTAGTCTGTACATAAAACCACCAGTTCAATCACAGGAATAATTACACTATAAAAATATCATTTTTCACCTAAGAAAAGACTGTAAAATGTGTGATGCTTTTTAAAAGTCAGTAGTAAACAAACCCCTATAAATCTCTTCAGCGGAACTAGATTCTCATTTGACGGATCAGCTTTTTGCTAACATTGGAAACTGTTAGAGGATCAATTAGCTTCGCCAAATTAGGTTAGGTTATGCTATAGCAGCTAAACTTCAAACCAAGAGCATAAAAATAAATAAAATAACATTTAACAGTATTTAAATAATAAATACAAAATTTGGCTATACAAAAATACATGCTATAGAACGTATTTGCTATTTGTTGCTTGACTAAGTTCAAACAGTATTCATAAAAATATAAACTTGATGTAGAAATGCTTTTATTCTGAAAGGGTTCATCTCTCAGACTGAGCTGTAACTCTGGTTTGGATTGGCCGATTTTGCCACAGATGATCTCAAATTAACGCCAAATTAAACCAGTAGACAACTAACAGCAAGTTTGTGTCGAGAGCATTTAGCGYTAGTAGAGCTAAGAATCTTGTTTAGCAGATTAGTGGTGATTAGTGAACATAACATTTTGCTTAGCTGTGCCCACCACTGATATTTACATATCTAGAAAACTATGAGTAAACTTTTTTTAATTTACCATTATTTATCCAGACAAATCCCGTTTGAGATCTCAGATCTCTTTTTYAAGGGAGGCCTGGGCCTGAAGGCAACCTATTCTACGTTTTTAGGGGTGGGAGAAACCGGAGTACCTGGAGAAAACCCACACAAGCACGAGGAGAACATGCAAACTGTACAGAAAGACGCCAAGTCCGAACCAGGAATCGAACCCAGGACCTTCTTGCTGTGAGGCATCAGTGCGAACCACTGAGCCGTCRTGTTGCCACCGTTTTATATTCGTAGATCCGAATAACGTTTTTATGCTTGATGTCATAGTTTGAAATAATTAGCACGTCTTTTTTTTTTTTTTAGCTTGGTGCCCATTTTTTTTTTTTTTGTTTTTACCTAACTATGGTCCACAAAAACTTAAAGGGCAGCCCTGCAGCCCTGCAGGAAGTGAACGGGGGAGTCCGTTGTTGTGCTGCCAGTCGTCTTTCTCGCTCTGCCGTAATGAAGTCTAATCCCAGGGCCTCGTTATTGTGTAGGTGTTGTAAATTACATTGTCTGCCAGCATTCAGAGCCACTTTTAGTTTTCTTGTTTGTTCTGCCACACGCTGAGAGCCGCTGTGCTTTTTTTCATTTAGTYCGCATGTTCGTCATTTGTTTCACACTGAAAGCATACGGCGAACCGTCTCTCACTGTCCTCCTTRTCTCCACAGAACAAAGTGGTGGACATGGACAACCTGAAGGTCAAACTGCAGGTGAGAGAGCTGCACCGTTTAATCACCCTTCACCTCAGAGCAGCTTGGATAGACTGTCCAATCAAATACCTTCCTATATAATTTTTTTCTATCTAGTGCCAGAAAGCACATCTGTCATCCAAACCCGTTCATTCAACACTGAGTAGGAGGTGACAGAATTAGATTCCTCTGCCCGCCTCTGGAAATCAGCAGCTTCTTTATTCTTGCACGAGCTTTTCACATGGTTGAATATGACTGTCAGTTTTTTTTAAAAATGGACTCTGAGACAATAAATYGGCACTGTCCCTCAAATAGAAACAGTAAAAAAATGTGACACGCAGATTTAAAGTTAATGACTGACTCAAGACTGGCTTTATACTTTCAAGGAGGCAAAATGCTGCCTTTCATTAAAAAAAGCACAATCTTTTAGCCATTATTTGTTTAGTATGTGATTGGGATGAGGTTCAGCTACTACTGCACCAGGTTTAAGCTCAATGGGCCTCATGCAAGAACCGTTGGTACGCACAGATTTGTTCTTAAGTTGTGCGTACGAGTGATTTAGGAGAATTTGTGGCATTCACCAATGTTTTCGTATCGGTGCGCAACCACCCTTCTTCTGAATAAATGTAAACACAGTAACACAGTTGTTTACACTTAAATTAAAAATATTTGACCAAAGAAAATCCGGAGCAGGACTAGAGAGAGATGAATATGATTTAGATTTTTATTTCTGTGACTGTAACGACCCACAGGAGACACGATACTAACGGCACATTTCATTCCTTTAAGCTGCTCCTTTAATTCCACATGACACTGCTAAAGAGAACAGATTTTCTTTTCTGGATCTCTGACAGACGGACTTCAATCTCCGAACTCGTAAAGTTCTTCTTTTTTACTTTGCGATGTCATTCATGAATGGACACTTCCTGGTACGTGGGGCAGGAAACATAACCTTATATGGTGTTTTTGGGGTGGTAATTATGTAAATAACCTCTCCTCCTTCACGAGCACCTGGATACGAACAGGTGTTATTTACGCAGCTCATTTACACACTTTTCCTGAAGATAGAATAATTTGTTCAATCTGACGTGACATGTTCGTACGAACCCTTCGTATGAACAAAAGTAAGAGAAATTTAGGATAAGAATACRAACATGTTCTTGCATGAGACCCAATGTCTGTGAAATTGACTAAGTTGTAGCCATTTTTGTGTTTGATAAGGTTGCCAGTTATTCTCTTCTGTATTTTGTTAAAACTCGTCCACTGGTTCATGAGATATATTGATAACAGACGGGAAAAATGAGCACGTGTCCACACATCATTGCATGATTGCCCATCTTTAAGGATGGCAGGTGATATTATTTGCAATTTTTTTTTGGTGTAACATTTAGGAGAAATCCCATATATCATAAGTGTAAAAGAAGAGGTGATTTAATTGAAAGATTAACTGGGGTTTTTTTGATAGTTGATAAATTTATGAAGCCAATTTGTTTGACTTGACAGCTTTAGTTTCACAAAAATATTCATGTTTTCTCCTCACGAGCAAACAACTTGTTGCACTAATTCAAATGAGATCAATTCTCCTAAATCAACAGTAAATTTAATAAMATCCGTAATCTTTAAATATTTCATAGGAAGGTCCTAATGGGGTTTTGTACATCCTGACCTGTCTTACACCTGACACTAAATGCTGTTATCCATGCTTTCTTTCTAAAAATAACATTTCCTATCTAAACAGTTAAATATGGAGGATTGAAAGAGAAGAAGTGAGTTTTTTTTTTTCTGGTACATATGATGGGAGAAGCGTCCTCTGTCCTGAAAGACACTGATAAAAAGATCAAGTGTAAAAACACTGTGCTGCCCACAGATGTGTCTGTTTTTTTAATTATTGATTAAGTTCACTTTGGCCTGGCTGGTGCTGATTATCTTTGAAAAGTGGGGGGAAATCAACCTAATAAATCAGCCATTTCTAATTCACTTCAAATTTAATTTATTACAAATGAGCATTCTAAATGTAACTCTTTTATATATATATATATATATATATACACACACATACATACATACATACACAGGGATATATATTCACATAGAGTCATTATTAGCCATCAGCCATGTCTTTCTAACTAACATATTAAAACTAAAAAACAAACAAAAGTTTGATGGATTTTTTTATTATAATTGTAATTAGAGTTTGATGTTTCTGTGTTTTCTGATGGGGCTCGATGCTGGCTCCTGGGTAAAGCTGTGGTTTGTCCTGCAGATCTGGGACACGGCCGGCCAGGAGAGGTTTCGCAGCGTAACACACGCCTACTACAGAGATGCTCAGGGTAACCTTCCCAGYTTCTTGCATGGCCTCCTCGAGCTGTGTGTCAGTGTGTCATCAGTGTGCAGGGACACGGTGTGTTTACGTGTGAACCCGTGTGAAACCGGCTCTTCTCTTTTTTGCTTCCCGCAGCGCTGCTGCTCCTTTACGACATCACCAACAAGCCGTCGTTTGACAACATCAGGGTAAGGCTGCTTCCCGTTCCTCCTCCTGTCTCTCTTCACGTGCTTCACATTCCTCTCGTGGCCTCCTTGGCAAATGGCTCGATGCTATCGTTCACTCGGCTACACGCTTGCCCGGTTCCAGTAATGAAAAGCAATAAAAATCACTGGAGATTAAGAGCGTCGCCATGATTGATAGGAGCCCGGGAGAAATGAAGAGATGAGAAGTGGGGCCTTCAGTTGTTTTAGTATTTTTTTAAACTCACAAACCGATCTCCTCTCCTTTTTATCTGCTGTACTTTTTGTAGGCTTGGCTGACTGAAATACACGAGTACGCCCAGAAGGATGTGGTCATCATGTTGCTCGGCAACAAGGTGAGGAAAGCTTCCTCTTTGTGTGCGACTGTGTGTCATTGAAAGATGGGGAGGATAACTTGTGTCCTGTGCACAATCTTAACCACTCTTATCACACTTAGGCAGAAACGTGAACCCGTAAAAGGCTGAAAATATGGGGCGGTGTGACATGAAAGACAAACCGCCTCGCTCACTAGTAACACCAGAGAAATGTTTGATTGAAGCGGATTCTGTGAACTGCTGCTGGTGATACGGAGGAAAACAAATCAGTCACTGCTTGTTTATCTGAAGGCTCCCTCTGGTGGCTCAGAGAGGACTGTGAGGGACCTCCTGCAGCAGCATCAGTCCCCTGCTGGAGTCGGAGTCCCTGCCTTGCTCATCGGTTTGAGGCAGCTGTCACTAATTTCTCGCCGTCCCCCTGACCTTTGTCTTGTCTCGTTCACAGTCGGACATGGCAGCAGAGAGAGTGGTGAAGACGGAGGAAGGAGAGAAGCTGGCCAAGGTAACCGTAGGACGTCTTCCAGCATCAGACTCTCTGAGCTCCTCTAATGCTTTTTGTTTTCTGCTTCTCTTTCAGGAGTACGGAGTGCCGTTTATGGAGACCAGCGCCAAGACCGGAGTCAACGTGGAGCTGGCATTCCTCGCTATAGCAAAGTAAGTCTTCAAGCAGCCAGGATCAATATCTGTACATTATGAATCGATTGGAAGAAATTCAGCACCTTGCTCTTCGTTTACCTTCTACTCTTCTGGGAATTTTGGCTACTTTTCTAAGATTATGATTGTTTTTTTACCCTGTTTTGTGTGTATGTGAGTGTGTTTTTGTCTGTAGCATGCGTTTCAAATTGAAGGCCCGTGGGCCAAATCTGGCCCTCGCTGATATTTTATCTGTCCCCAAATGTGATACTTTAAATGTGAAATAATTTTATGCTTTCATTCTTGACTCATTCTCCATAACAGCTGGACAGCTTTCAAACCATGAAAGATGTGTTTGAATTTTTCAGTTACAGTTTTCATTCACGTATATTACAAGACATTTAACCCAAAAAAATTATTCATGAAGTTGGGGGGGGGGGGGGGGTAATAGTATACACGGGAGTAAATTTTAACTGACCTTGTTAATGTTCAACCACAATAAGTTTCAATATTTCCTCATATATTACTGGAATACCACCCAGCAAACATATAAACCGTAGCTGTTTACTCACCGGAGTCAGAAGAGAAAAAAAAACTTGTTTTCTTTTTCTTGTTAACCGTGGCGATGTAAAAAAAAAAAAAGACTTGGACTTTACTTACATTTTCTAATAAATCCATCTTAATAATTTACCAACTGGCTTCTGCTCTGGTTTGAGAGCAGGTTGTTTTTTTTCAGTAACACACTGAACAGGAAACTTCCGCTGCTCGGTCTCTGCAGCAGAGCATGCCCACACAAGTGCGTCTCCCCACCAGAGGGCGCTCTGCAAGGGCTGAAAATTCCGGAAATCTGTCAGAAATTAGTGTTGGCTCATAACATGATGATTAGATTTTTTTTGTGCTTTTTAAGCAACAAAAATGATYGTTTCATACATAAATAAAAACAGTATCTTTTGATGTTGTTGTGGAATTGTGGCATTTTTAAGTATTCTCTTATATTCAGATTTTTAGCGGGATTTTCTTTTTGTAGCTGATTTGCTCAATTGTGATAAAATGTATCTTTAAGAAGTAATGAATTAAAAAGTTGGTAATAGAAAGTAAGGCTTAAGAAATGAATGCTAAGGATGAGTCTTTCTAAATTTAATGTTTTTTTCTTTATCTGTTAGGTTATGTGTGTCCTGAATGAACATGGATACATGCATAAAACAYAATTTTGAAATGGCAATTTGAATTTCTATATGAATAATTTATTATATAACATTTATAACATATATAACATTTCTCCTTAAAGTATTGACAGAAATTTGCCTGAATTTTGGCACTGTTATATAACATACAGGACCAACATCAGTAAAACAGAAGAACAACCAGTGGACAGATCAGAAAATAATCCCTAAATGCACTGYACTGACTTGTAATGACAAATTATCAGGTAGATTCAAATATTCAATGTTCTTTTATTGGTAAACCTTTTATTGAGAGGATMATCAGGTTCAAAGTTTGTATTTGTTCACTTTTGGCATAAATTTTAAATAGAGACTCAACACATTCCTAAAGAACCTACAAGGGGTGAAAAATTCCACTAATAGGCAGAATTTATCAGGTTATTCTCTTTTATTTTATTTCTTCATCCACAAGTGATTCCCAAATCAAATGTTTTCCACTTCGAAAGCTCCATCTCAYCTCACAGAAAGAACCGTTTGCAGTGAGGAAGTTAATTTACCCGTAAATTGTACTAAACTGCACCTTCCACTGCTCGTATAATAAAAAATGAACTCTGAGTCATTTAAATTTTTGCCAATTACCATGTAGTCATAAACACTCAGGGTGTATATGTGAGGAGTTTTGGGTTGTGATCTTCATCCTGCGAGTTGTAACCTGGGTGTTTTACTCTGTTCGGGGTTGTTCATAGTTKACGCACGGACGCGTATCAAGTCTCTGACTCCAGCGTCTAATCCAGGAAAATAGTTTTTAGTTAATTTGCTGTCTGTGGCTGTTGTTGCTCCTTCTAATGTGATTGTGTGTTTGAGGCTCCCTGTAGATGTCACTCATKTATGGTGCACTCTCTTGTTTTCTTTCCATTCGTGCATGTCTTTTAAATCTGAATGACAGGAGATTTTTCTCCTTTTTTTTTCTGCTCCCTCTGAAATTACAGCTTATGTTCCCTGAGCTGCAAAAGCACACTATGTCCAATTTGGCAAGAAATTATTCACACCAAAGAAAAGCTCTGATTCATGACAAATGAGTACTTTACTACAGGCTAAGATGGTATCTTAGTTGAAAACTGCAGCAAAAGGCGATGGGTGATTGCTGTGGCAGCCTTGTTGCTGCTATAAATACAAGAAAAAGAACATCTAAAAACRCATCCAAGGATTCTTATGTGTCTAGGCTTAAAAGTAGACGGAGCTCGGTTTATTCTGCAGCTTTTACGGTGCAACCAGACTTCGCATAGTCTTTCATAAAAACATACCAGTGCAAAATGTTAAATCTGTTTTGCTTTTGTAGCCTTTAATTGAAAAACCAGTGCGTTCTACTCCTTTTATTTCCTTCAATTGTGTTATCCTGATTCAGCTGCATTCTTCTGGAAACTGTGRACAGAACATTAATTAGATGTCTTCAGCTGGTATTAGCCATGGTGGAAAGCATAATTAAAACATAAAAGGAGCTCTATAAACAGAAAAATATAACAAAAGATGTTGTGGAATGGCAACTTTTAACTCCTTCACCGTCAGGACTGAGAGGCTAAGAACACAGAAAAGATTATCTGCATCTGTTGAAAGATTGTGAAYGGTTAATATCTTACCTGTTGGGGATGGCTCATTAAACAGAATCAGTTTGGACAAACTTGAGTTTAATTCTGACTGGATTGTTTAGAGGCGTTGGCTGTATAAGTACAGTCCATTCACCATCCGTTCTCAAGAGTTGAAMTCATTCTAGGCCKTTTTGCACTGCAAGGCCAAGCCCAAGACAGCCCAGCTTCAAATCCAGGTTCAGCGTGTTTGCATTAAGGCCCAATTCCACCATGATTTCTGGAAACCCGAGATCCATGGTGGAGAAGATAAACTTCACGTGAACCGTTTGCAGCAAACTTATGCCCCTTTTCCACTAGTGCCACTTAGTGTAGTGTCGGTACGCTCAGTGTCAGTATGGGTCAGTTCGGGTGCTTTTCCATTGACCRGTTCCAGTGGGTGTGTTTTGGGCGGTTGGTGGAGGTGGCTTTTGGGTTTTTCAAAAAAGAGTTRATGCGCGAAATGAGAGATGGAAACACATCTGCGGAATAAGTTCTGAAATTTTAAAAATTCGCTAAAAATTTTAATTAAAGTTGGATGGAAACACGACTAATGTCACTGCCACAATTGAAAAAATGGCGCCTCGAGTTGTTGTTGTAAAGGCAGCTTAGAGGCAACCAGTGACTCCACCCCCARCCAATCAGTGATGAGCAGTGTTCTGGTGTTGCATTTTGGTGTCGACTGGGAACACTTGGAACCACAACGAAGTAGGCACTAAAAAAGGGCTGGTTCCATGAATCTGGCCTAATGGAAATGGCTTGGAACCTTACCGAACTGTACAGACACTACACTAAGTGGCACTAGTAAGCTACTGCGCAACAACAAGTAATATTAGTGACCATTAGCTTACTGTCGTCCCCTCGTCCTAAGCTTCATAGAGCTGGATGGTAGCCTTCTGTACTTTTCCTTCAAGTTTGCTGTAGTCTTGTTGTTGTGTCGCAATTAAAATGAAATAAGGTTTGCTCCGGTTTGATGCTATGATCCCACCCACATTGAGGTGGTACTCTGATCAATGCAAACACATCCAGGGCCGGGGTAGAATAAGGCCAGGCTGACTGGAGCCGGGGCGGGCTGAGCTGGAGCGAGCTGGGCCTTACAATGCCAAAAATATCCTCTGAGGTGATTCAGAGAGCCATCCACGACAGGTAAGACATTATTTGTTTGCGATTGCTCCACAGAATCCCACTTTAACACAGCTAATTAAGTCAAGATATTTTGTGAATGGTGTCAGTTAAGTTCATTAAACTCTCATTGAGAATTTCAGGCACAACTTGACTTCCCACAGACATATATGATGCTAAAGTAGACAAAAATAAACAGAAAACAATAGAGGGACCAGACCTGTGCTTGTTATAACAGTCCTGACTGCTGGGATGTGCTGTTCAAAATTAAAATCTGTCATAAATATGTTGTTTTAAGAGGATAAATCTCATCATGCATTGTTTCGGTTCTTTTCTCCCTCTCCACTTCATTTTTTTTTTTTTTTGCATCCTTGATTTGTTCATCCTGTCTGCGCTCCGTCCTACACATCCACCCCCTCTGCTGCTAACTTCCTGTGTGCGCCCCTCCTCTCCCYTCTCCTCTCCGTCTCCATCTCTCTGCCAGGGAGCTGAAGCACAGAGCGACGCAGCAGCCAAACGAGCCCAAGTTCAAGATCCACGACTACATCGAGTCCCAGAAGCACAAGTCGGGCTGCTGCAGCCTCGACTAGCAGACGCCGAAGCAACAGAGTAGAGAGTGTGTGGATAAGAGTGGGAAAATGTCTGCTCTCTCTCTCTCTCTCTCTCTCTCTTTCTCTTTAATGAAAGCCAATCCAAGCACCGAACCCTGAGAGGCGGATGTCCTCCACCTTCTCTACAGAGCTTGTTTTGTTCTTTTCTTTTCTTTTCTTTTTGGCTGAATGACAGTGAATCCGGATTGGCTGCCATCCCTTTGATGAAATGTGAATTTAAATTGTTTGTGTAATGTGTAGAGATGTTTGTGGTCTTTGTGGTGACAGTAGGAGTTATAATGTAAAATGCTATATCCATGAGCAGGGGTCAAAGACTTCGGCCTGTATGTGAGTGTTGATGGGGGATATAGCATTTTGAAGCCATGCAGCTCTGAGTTTTACCAGACCGTGAGCTGAAACCCCTCTCGGCCTTTTCTTTTTAATGTTGAGAGAAGTGGACTTCAGTCTCGCTGTAGCCCAGTGGCCCTCGTCTGTTCACGTTTGTACTGCTGTTAGATAAAATAAAAGCCAATACTTTGGGGGGGGAAACTACCCACCATGTGTATGTGTGTGTGTATGTGTGTGTTCATCCAAAAGGACTGTGCACATTTCTCCTTTTCACTTTTTTCCTCCAAGTATTTCTCAACATGCAGTCTGAATCGTGCACACGGCCCATGTTGTCTTGTCTCTTTTTAACAATGGATGTTGTTGTGGGCACTGTATTTGTCGATGCACCGCATTGTGTAACTCTTTCCTTTGTCCGATGTGCATAATGAATGTTTGGTTGTGCAAAATTCATCACATCTGTCCCTCTTCTGAGGAGTCGAAATGATCACAAAGTGCCATGAAAGTGCTTTGTTGTCATACTATATATATATAAAGTATATTTTGTAATGTGTGTGTAGTTTGCTTTATTGAAGTCTGTCTTGTCTTTTTGTGTGCGTGTGTGTGTTGGGAACAGAAGTGGGTGTGTTGAGGTTAATAAGCCACAGTGAGGCAGCAGCCACCCTTTATTCTCCATTATGTACCGGCACGAGAAGTAAAGTTTGATTCTGCTTAAGAGGCAACAAAAAAACTGTTTTTATTTTATTTTTTTTGTTTTGTTTTAGGTTACATCAGCAAAGAGATTTATGAAAGGTTGCTCAGCATTCCTCTGGTGGTGTTTTGTTAATGGTGGGCTTGCAGTGAAGCTGTGTGAAGTTAGAATAAACGAAGCAAACAGGTGATTCACTGTAGGAAACGCTACACCTGGGCTCAGAGCTCCCCCTCACATCCAGCCACAGGATGAGTCACGCTGCAGATGCAGCAATGAGCTGCTCCTGAATTTTGATTTTAAAGTTCACAGTGGATAACTTTCTGCGATGAGCTGAATTCCCCCGCTGCAATGTTGATTTAGATCGCAGAAAACCAGAAGGATGTAAAGMAACTTGTTGTAGAGGTGCAGAAATCTCCACTTTGTTTTTTACTCTACTATACACAAATAATTTGTGTTTGGTAGATTATATGTTTGTTGTAACAATGTTTCTTGGCAAAAAAAAAAACTTATAGCATTGTAAAGCCTGTTATTTTCCCTGGTGCCACATTTGCAAGGAACATGCTTTTGTGAGATGAGCAGTAGAGTTGAGTATGTGGGCTGCGCACATGAAAAAAATTGCCAAATCTCCTCTGTCAGACAGCTGATTTTGCTGTGGCTGGACACTTGTTTTGAGCTTCTGGTGCCCCCAGATGCTGCCAATAAGTAAAATTTATTTAAAATGATTTATTGCCAATAAGTATTTTTACAAACATAAATAAATAAAAAATTGCAAAACACAAATTTCCTTATTTTTTGCAATAAATTTAATTACTGTGGTTTGATTAGATCACACAAATAAAAAAAAAGACTTAAATGACAATCTAAATTATTTGGTTTAAAGGCCTCAAATCCAGAAACACACAAAAAAGGTTTAAATCAGACACCCCACCCAAGCTTCCTCTATAGTGGTCATCATTTTTATTTCATTTTCATATTTATCCACAAATTCACTCTTTAAATGCTTAAAATTTCACTACATTTGCTTGCCTATACACACCACAGCCAGCCTTATGTAGGTCGATCACGTGACTCAAGCTTCAGTCATGTTTACACGGAGTGTGGACCCGCATTTTAGAATTTCAAATAAATATATCTGGAGTAAAGCTTTAAAACGGGTCGTTAATTACTCAAAAAATGTTTTCGTTAGATTTAGGCCTACTTAAATAAATTATGTTCAACAGGTTCTACTCAGTTGAATTGAGTAAATCCAACGCTGTTTTTTTCACTTTGTTTGTGAATGTGAAGTAATTGTGTTAGATTTACTCAAGTCAGTTGAGTAGCTGAAAATGTTTGTTTATTAATTTTTTTGAGTGTTCAGAATAACTTTTTKTGTGTTTGACTTAATATTTTTTCCCCAGTGAGTGTTAAAATGAAATAAAAATAAAGTATTAGTTTGTAAAGGTTTTCCTGGGCAGCCYCTCGTCCCAGTCAGCTGGGCTGTTCCGTGAACGCACCTCCTCCTTCCTGAGAGCAGTTTTTTTTATTCCCCTCCAAACACTGAAACGCATCGACGGCTGAGTGATTAACTCAGGCACAGTTCTGGACCCGGGTCAGGAGCCTGGCTTGAGGATTACATCAGAACTTGGGTGACAGCGGGACGTCCCTCCCGAACAGGACCAGGGAGGTTTGGTGTCTTTTTTACAGCTCAGACCAGCAGCAGACCCGCCGTCCTCCGCAGCATCCCTTCTCCGGTCCTCAGTGTGTGTGTGTGTGTGTGTGTGTGTGTGTGTGTGTGTGTGAGAGAGAGAGCAACAGGTAGAGCAGCGGTGTGTGAGAGTGTGTGTGTGTGAGTGTGTGTGTGAGTGTGTGTGAGCAACATGCGGAGCGAGAGCCTCCGGCCCCGGCTGTGCTCGCTGCAGAAAGGGGACAACGGCTACGGCTTCCACCTCCACGGAGAGAAGGGGAAGACGGGCCAGTTCATCCGCCTGGTGGAGCCGGACAGCCCGGCCGAGTCCTCGGGGCTCCGCGCGGGAGACAGGCTCGTCTTCGTCAACGGAGAGGACGTGGAGACCGAGAGCCACCAGCAGGTCGTGTCCCGGATACGAGCCACCGTGGGCCGGCTGGAGCTGGTGGTGGTGGACCCGGACACGGAGCAGCTGCTGAAGAAACACAACTTGAAGTGCCTGAAGGAGTTCGTCTCCGAGGGTCTGCCCCTGCCGCTTGAGGACGAGGAGGAGGAGGAGGAGGAGAAGAAAGTGGAGGAAGAGGAGTTGGAGAAAGAGGAGGAGGTGTTGAAGAAAGAGGAGGACGGGGAGGAAGAGGACACAGAGGATGGGGATGTGAAGCAGCAGGAGGTGGAGGAGGAAGAAGATGAGGAGGTGGTGGTGGAGCAGAGGGAGCAGGAGAGGACACGCGAGGAGCTGACCCCTGTCCCGGTCCATGTCCCAGTCTCTGTCCCTGTCCCGGTCCATGTCCCAGTCCCTGTCCCAGTCCATGTCCCAGTCCCAGTCCATGTCCCAGTCCCTGTCCCAGTCCCGGAGAGGAACGGAGAGATCCACGTGGAGAAGAAGCTGAGCATCAGCTCTGAGAAGGTGAGTTCAAGTTTCTGCATCCTCATCCAGCTTTGATTGACAGCTGTCAGTCAGAACAGGTGCTCTGTCTCTGAAGTCTAGCTGGGAGGGAGAGGACACACCTGGTCCTCCTAAAGCAGCTGACTTCTGRTGCTGTGATGCTCTTCATCAGTGGTTCCCAAAGTTGTGGTCGGGACCCCTCTGTGGGTCCTGAAGCATCAAGTAGGGGTCTCCAGATGATTTCATCAGTTTAAATGCAAATAAAGAGCTGATGAAATATTTTACCATTATTAAAGCAAAAATAATAATACAATAATAATAAACGAACAAAAGTAGTATCATAGGTTTGTTTATGCTGTGTTTATTTTTAACAGAGTTATTAGCAAAGTTAATATCGGGGGTCACCAGTTTTTGTAATTGTTATTTTGTGGGCCAGAAGCTAAAATGTTTAAAAACCACTTCTCTAAATAAGCAGATCTCAAACATTTTAACCAGAGTACAGAAAGTCGAACCTGACATAAATGAATAAACTGGTCAAAAGCAAAAACTGGACTGAAAAGATCACAAACATTCTCAGTTGTGTCTTTAGTTTCCAGCAGGTACTGCAGACTTTACACTGTAAAGGTGTTTGTTGCAACTTCGACAGTCAAACACAAAAACATGATCCTGAACTATATCAAATGGTTCCATTTAAAAGCGTTTACTCATGCTATTTTTCAGACATGTAATTCTCAAACGCTGGTATGCACTCAGTGTAAACAAAGCACTTTGGTCTGCATACTTTATTAAACAAATCAGAGTATTAATACATGAAAACTGTCTCAACGTCTTCATCCCAAACAGCTCTTTTATACACGTCACTATTGTTGACCTGTTTTCTGTCACTTCGGCTGTTTTCTGTCACTTCGGCTGTTTTCAAACACTTTGGGTGTTTTTGTCGATAAACAAATGCATGAGGTAGTTGGAAGCACTTAAAGGGGCAATTTCAAGTAAAATAAACTTTTTTGAGTTTTATATCCTGTTATAATGTTACACTCTCATAAAAACATGCCCAAAGCCTTGCTTTGACTCATTCACG